AGGTAAGCATTCATCGTGTATGAATGATGTGTGAGAAACTGTTTAAAGAAATATTTTAAGGTCCAATTAAAATTGATGAATGTGCACTCGATGGTCAGTTCATCCGATTGGCGAATACATCAAAAGACAAAGACATCGATGTCTCTAATTGGCTTTTGGTACGTAAAGTCGAAGATCACGAAGACATAAATTACTACATTCCATCAAATGTCAGAATATATCGTGGTCAGACGATCAAGATACTCACTCGGTTATCACAGGCTAATCGAGCTGCTCATGATCTAGTCAATATGGAAATCGATTCATGGGGTCTCGGAATGAATATTACCACAAGACTGTTCAACGACGATGAAGAAGAACGAGCAAGTCATATTCAGAGAACGGGTTATCCATCCAGTCGCTAGAAAAAATGCATCAAGCCAATTCCGTTAGATGCACAAGACCTACTTCAAGTAGAACGTTTTAATTTTTTATTCTTATATTGACAAGATGATACTAATAAAAATAACAAAAAGTAATATCCGCAAGCGACAATGCCGGCTCTTAAGCGACCTTCCACGAGCTGATAGAAAATTTTTACCTCAGATCGTAACTTTTCGAAAATTAGTTTTTAATACGTGGTTGTCTTGATAATCTTCAAATCCACTGTTTAAACTCAGAAGTCACTTTCTATGAGAGTTAAAGCATTTTTATGGAGTGTGACGTACCACATATCCAAAACACGACCTTTCTTGAACGTTTGTCTACTTTTTCCATAAAAGCTGGTTCAACTTTTTTAATTAAGCTACCGTGGTATTTTGTAATTTCGAATTTTTAATTAGAATAGGGTGAATGAAAGAAATGATTTCTACTGAGCGGGTTGGGGGGATCTTCATTCTACGAGAGTTGTGTAAAATGACAGAAATGAGCCATCAAACTTCATTACCGCCAAAGCAGTAGCATGAGAATGGGTGTTTTGGTTCTATTCGCAAAATTTATATCTCGCCATCTAAGCGTTTTTCACATCCATGACTGGTAGACTGATATGAAAAATGATAATTTTTTGAGAATGGTAACGCACATGACATCATACAATTATGTACAATCGTCTGTGAAAGGCTCAGAATTCTTAAAAATATAACAATGCAGACCTAAGCGACACCTTGTTTTAACAATCAACGTAAGCACTACAGGATTTCATCTATCTCTTCCAAGCGCCGAAATATAATCTCATGTTTCTGCTACATGCTTGAATAGTAGAAGACGATATGTAATAGTAAATAATAGCTATTATTCATTCGGTCGTAAATAATAGTTTCATATTCGGTGGTTCTAACTAGTTAGAGCTTGTAATGCGTGGTAATGACTACTCTCAAAGAGAGTAAAGAGTTCAAACCATTTGATTTTCAACGAGTTAGAGAAGCTGTCCAAATTATAATTAAAGAAATCGCACTAAACGAAGCAATAGGAGTAATCGTAGAATGTAAAGAGCTTTTCTTTGATATTTGTATAAGAGAAAAGATATGTTAAATGTTTTCTTGCCTTCTCCATTTCATTCATTTTTTTTCTATATATTGTTTTGTATTATTTATTATATATAACATATCAAAGGAAACCTGAACTGTGCTAAGTAATCATAGGTAATGTATACATTCTATTTGGCATGTTCCGTTTGTATTGAATTATACATTATTTTTGACTTATCGCTTGCTAATATGATCTTAAACAAACAGTAAGAATGATTTTTCACCATCGTTCCCATAGCTATGGGAACGGTAGCAAAAAATCATTCTTACTGTTTGTTTAAGACCATATTAGCGAGTGATAATCCAAATTTGTTTTGCATCACTCATCAGGGACCGAAACAGGTCACCCAAGCATGACCTGAACCCGACCCGATCCGACCCAAATCAATTCCTTATACGTTGGTCCAAACCAGAGTTGTAACCGGTCCGAACCGATTAAATCAGTTGGACGGCGGACTGTGGTAACTGTTTTTTGCCGATTCCACAAAGTTGTGCATATTCGTGCGCTTTTCATCAGGAAGACATTATGCATGTCTGCTTAGTAGTTTTTTTAAAAGAAAGAAAGAACGACAATTTTATTTGAAATGTAAATTCTATTTTCTTTTTATTCTTTCAATTTGTTTTTAAAGACAAAGTCATATTGTTTACTGTTTAAAATATCTTAGTAATCGGAATATTGTCCCGTATTGGGCTTTATTTTGAAAATTATATACCGATTTGTGTGCGAGGGAACCTTGTCTCATGCAGAAGACTCTCAATCTTGAAAATATTGGTTGTTTTTTTATATCTAGAGTTCCAGTATACGCATTACAGAAAAGACAGGCATAAAAATCTCTAGGTATTCAGAACACATTTTGTCCGTAATATCAATTTTATTACCGAAAAAAACTTGGTGAACTCGCCGGCTTTTACTGGTCTAGAAATATTTTTAGACCGGCTGGACCGGACCGATCTTGTATTTCTAGACCGGTTACAACTCTGGCCCAAATCCGATCCGACTCGAACGGATCCGAACTAAATCCGGAACATGAAAACGTTTTCGTACACAAACGTTTCACAAAGAAACACTTCTTTCCTATTGAAAACTTATTTTAGTTAGATTGCTTTGAAATTTTTTCAAAAGAACGGGCAGATTCCTTACAGTTGCCGTTATTTTTTCCTTTTATGAGTGGAAAAATTTGGATAATTCAGGCAGTTTATTTTATATTGACCTGAGTTATATCGAAACGGGTCAACCAAAGGCTACCCGAACCCGAACCGATCCGAATCAATATCTTTTACGTTGAGTTATGGTCAAAAGAAAAAGGGAGGTGGGGTGTATGGAAAATTTTGTTGCCATTGTACTTAGTTTTCGGACATAATTTCGGTTTTCATACGAAAATTATTGCACTAAAAATGCAAATGTTTTTTAATAACAGTTTTTCCCCAGAACGAATGCGGCACAATCTGTAGTTATCTGTGGTCACATCTGATAACTCTTCGAGAAAATTGACTCAAACTTTTTGATTTCTTTCGTTTTCAATGTGGATTTTGATGTGGGTTCATCATTTTTTGCCATATCTAAACAAATCAACAGCTAGAATTTACATTGTGTTCGCGTTGTTACTTTTGCAGTAAATGTTGCTTTCTGTTTACTGTTTGTTAACAATATTTCCTTTTAACTTTTTTGGATTCTAATATACTTTAGGTAGAGGTGCAAATGCCTTGATATATCAGACTGAAGACCAAAGTAGTCAAAATTTATGTCCAATTGTAATTAGCAATTAAATTAATTATAGATTTTTTTACTGATGCCGAAAAATTCTTGCCAACGAAATAAAATTTCCCAAAAATAATACATAACTTTTTCCTCAGTTAATCCATTTTAACGGATTATACTACACTCATCTGCCTTACTACACAGTAAATATTTATCAAGATTCAGCTCCATGTACATCTAGATGCACGTCGAACTGAATCTGGATAAATAACCTAAAAAATTGGGTCGTTGTCATTCATCACAAACACTTGGTTCTCGTCTACATCGATAAAGAAATGTGTGGAGAATATTTACTACGAGAAACTATGTAAAAAATTTTGTTCGTTCCTTCCTATTATTGACTAATTAGCACTAATTAAGGTTAAGTTAGCCTACTCTACTAGCTTACAGTCCCATTTGCAGAATAAGGACTGAACAAAAGAATTTGAGCTACACCTCATCTGACAGAAAATTTCACGAGCTAAAGACCGACTAGCTTAAGAGTTTTTGAATCCGATTCATTCATTAGAATTTTGCATAACAGACGCGTGCTCAAAAACTTCACAATATTTTTTTTAGTAGTTAATTTTTTTCTCAGCCAAACAATGTCCGTAGGCCGAAAAACTTTCGAACATATACTTCGAAGTGTCCTCTACAAACTAGGAACACTTAACAAAAAATTCAAATCTAAAAAATTTCCCTAATTTTAAGCTAACGAGGGAACGTTTTTCGGTGAACTCTTCCGATTTCGTTCGTTCATACATCATTCGATAGAAGATTGGAAGCAGGTAAAAGCCTAAATGGATATGGGCCCGTGGCCGCCGCCATCTTTTTGGTTTTCCTAACGACAACTAGCAAAAATAGAAACATTCAGAACTCCGTCTAGAAAGGTTGTAGCAAGCTGAAATGGTCACTCTACAGGTCTGCTTGTTCAGCTAACGGCCTCCTTTTTTCGCTCTTTTTCAAAGAATATGGCAATAAAGTTAGAAAATAATCTAAAATTACAACTAGATGATTGAGTAGATTAAACATTTTTCTACAAAATGAAAAGTGTCTCGGCTCTGAACGTTGATTCGTTATGAAAATACAGCTGTTGTACAAACAGTCCCAAAAATCGATGTTGAGGCTATCTAAAAAGCGTGTCTAAAAGAGTGAAGACGAGCCGGCAAAAATTGAACAAGTATATCAGTTTGTAGAAAATTGTTTGCTCTACAAGATGTCATAGCTTGTCAAGGTCGAAACTATTCTAGTTAATCTGTATTAATCAAAGAAAAACCCGAAAAACCGTGACGCCGTGACAGTTTTGACCGTTTTTTGTCATGGCGTCGCGGTTTTTCTGGTTTCTCTTTGATTAATACAGATTAACTAGAATAGTTTCGACCTTGACAAGCTATGACATCTTGTAGAGCAAACAATTTTCTACAAACTGATATACTTGTTCAATTTTTG